TGACTGACTGGCATGCCTAATACTGCCACAAACATTCTGCATATCACATTAAATAGCTGTGCAAACTGCCAGCATGCTGAAGTTGGTCGCTGACATCATTTTTACATGATATAATTATAATATCTCAGTGCCCAGTCCTGGATCAGGAACATCATGTAACAACATTCCCGTGTTCTTCTTCCATTCTCTTTTCTCCCAGACTGTTTGAAATGATGTCTCAGAGGGCAGAATGCAGGGAATAAATACCTGGCAACTTGTAAGAAGCTTATCTACCAAAACTCCTTTTTGGCTCAGGCTTGTAACCCAACAAACACTAGTCACAGACTCGCTGAATAAGGCAGATTTTTACACAACTTCCAGGACAAACCCCTCAGCTATACAGTGAAGCCTATTTAAAAACCATACTCAAAGGAGCCTTTTCCCCCTAAAACTGGAAGCAGGTCTTTGTGTAAAGTTGCAGTGTGAGAGCAAACACCCTAGTAACACTGATGCAGTTACAACACACCAAAGTGCCTGAACGTTTGCAGACTTTCTGAGTTGTCTGAACTGAGCTAGCTCACCCAATTCTGAAATAATTCACCTGAAATAAAGACCAAATAAATTCTACAAGACAACCTTATTTTTATTTCTGAAATCTAAGAAAAGAATATCCTAAATCTTTCCTCCTAGTATAATGTTCTCCCTTCTGTTGCCACATATAGGACTGCAATGTTAAGAAAACTAATACTAAAAATCCCTCCGGCCAAAAGGATAAACCCATGATAAAAATGTCTTATTATATACAGATGGGTAAAGTGTATTACTTTCACAACAAGCACAGCTGGAAAATAAGTGAATTGCAAAAATATGATTTAATGATACCCTCCTTCACAATGGTGTTCACTCTCTCAGGTGTCTGGAAAATAAAAGCCCCAAGACCTCTGCTTCACACTCAGTGGTGAGACACGCTACTTTTCCCATCACTGAGGTGGGCGGAGATGCATCTGACATAAGCAAACAGGTGAAGAAAAGTGACAGGAATAAGAATGCCTATTCCATATTAATAAAACAATAATCTGAATTCAGACTAAAGAGTAGCTAAAGGAAAGAAAAAAAACAACAAATTTCTGTGTGTGTTTGATATTAATTATTCCCTGGATATGAGTTAACAGATGTCAATATAGAATATATTTTTTTCCAGAGACATGTTTATCAATCTGTCAATAGTATTTTGCTTAAATGATAAGCAAACACTTGTTAACATCAATTGATTCAGTAAGTCTTTAGTCACATCATCAATGACAGGCTTCAAAAAAGATTCTCAAAGGAGCTTTAGAGGGAAAAGGAGAACAAGAATAACAAATAATCTTGGCCTTTAACTGCCCATATTCCAGTGATACTTTCTGACAGGAGACAACTGTTAAAGACTAGAGCCAGTCACTGGTAAACCAAAACTGCTTACAACGTACTTTGCTTTTTTTACTAGGTTTGCATAGCAAGGTTTTGGTATTGGAGTGCTTATGGATGAGTCTCCTGTGAGAAGCTTCTAGAAGGTTCCCCAATGTCCAACACAGCCATTGCCCTCCAGCTCCAAGATGGACCTGCTGCTGGCCAAGGCTGGGCCCATCATTGAAGGTGGTAGCATGTATTTAAGAAGAAAAAAAAACCACCTGTCAATGGTAACTTCAGCTGGAGAGAGAAGTAAGAGTGTGTGAGAGAAACAGCCCTGCAGACACTCAGTGCAGGAGGGAGAAGATGCTCTAAGTGCTGGGGCAGAGATTGCCCTGCAGCCCATCGTGCAGAGCATGGTAAGAGAGGAGCTTCAGTTCCCTGGACAGCAGATGTATTATTATTTCAGCTTATTATTATTTAAATTGTTATTATTTCTATTTATTATTATTATTTCAAATTATTATTATTTGGAAAACCTTGTTAAATCCTATAAACAGATATCATACAGTAAATGTAACAAGCCAAGTCTTCAGCATGAATAAAAACGAGCACCTACTGAGCTTGGTAAGGACGAGAGAGTACTCAAGGATGAGGACTTCAGTAAGGATAGCTGAAACAGCACCTCATTTATCCAGGCATCACTCAGGCCTCTGAAATACCAAAGGAAACAACCTCCTCTACCTGACTTGTGGCACAAGCAGGAGAAAAGAAGCTCCCGCAGTGCCTCCCAGCAGCTTCAACACCCAGAATTGAGCCACCTTCCCCTTTCCTGTTACTAACTGAAATGCAGGAAGAGAACTTATTTTCTGCCAAAGCAGACACACAGCACAAAGTCACAGAAATAAGACAGGCAGGAAGGAAGAAAGTTAAAAACAGACTGGAATTTAGATAGTGAAATAAAAAAGGAATTCAGAACCATTGCAGTGACCTGTCTAACCTAGGGGGTACTGGATATGGCAGGCTGCAAACAAGACTGGCAGAATTTAAGAGTCACTGACTCCAGAGACAGCATTTCCATCCAAAGCCAGTGGGTAACCTTCTGCAACAAAAATACCCCTTTTTTATTATATTTTTATTTTAAATTATAGACCCTGACAACAGCCAGATTAAACCAGCAGCACAGCAGCCAGGATCTTCATCTTTCTCAAAAACAATATCCCCAGCTTCACCAAATCAAATCACTGCATACCTGTATTGTGTTGCTTTAATACAAAACAGACGTTTTAAAGATCTATTTCAAAGTGCAGTTGAACATTTCCTTCTGTAAGATTTCTTCTGCAATGTCCTTAATGCTACCAGTGTCACGTCTCAGTGCAACCAAAAGACAGGACTTCTTCATATTACAGCCCTCAAGCTTGTTTATTTGTTCAGTCTGTCTCAGCTTAATGTTGTCTAGAGACATTTACAGCAATTAATTGTCCCTCAAGTTCCAAAGAGCTAATTTTTATCTTCTCAAACAAGGTGGGAATCAGATTAAAGGTTACAGGGAAATGACTGAGCAGATACAAACTGTGGATGCTGCATTAGCCATGACAACTCTTGGGGTTAAAAGCCTACTATTAGTTAAGAAAGGAGAGGATTCATTCAATTATTTTGCTGTGTATTAGTGATCTAATGGACATGGTGTATTAGGAGAGGAAGTAACATTTACTATCTTTTCTGAACAGAAAGGAATAAAATATGACATGTTTATTGTTCTAATAGCTACTAAACTTACACTAATATTAACTGCAGAGCTGTAAGAAAATCAAGGGCTTTGATGTTAGGCTGATGTAACTGCCAGGGCTGCTACAGTCTCCTGTTACGTGCCAGGGTATCTGCATATCTTCCCTAGTTCTAATTTTATCTCCTGCATATTCTTTATCAGTTGCCATTAAGAGAAGTTTTTCACCTGATGTCTCATGGAACTGGAACGGAACACTGACATAAAATAAAGATCAGCCACACTGAAAGGGCTGACAAGAAACAGTTCAGAAGTGACTCACTTTAAGCTTCTCAGAGATCACAGCTGCGGTCATATGCAGAACTAGGCTCAAAAGAACTAATGCTAATAACATCCTCCCCTTTTTTCCTGGAGTGCAATAAAGAGAACAGGCAAGAGGGAGCTGTTCCGTGATTCTTCCTGTGAATGGAGGAAGATCAGAAAAGGCATTCAAAAGGAAAAGAGGATGCAACAAATTAATGAGGAATGAACTGTGCTGCGTTTAGGCTAAAACCTTCTGCATCTTCAGCAAGTCAAAGCCACGAATGGCACAGCTATAGCTGTGCATAAAAACAAACATAAATTATTATATCAGGTTCTTCCTTTTACTTGTGTAGCTTTATTAGCCCTGGTGCAAGCAGGTAGTATCGAGCAGTAATATATAAGCAGAATATATAATACAAGAAGAACGTACTTACAAGTCAAATGTTTGGCATGCAGATGTTATATACCTGAGCACTACTGAAGTACCTCTTTGCTTTCAAATTGTTTAAACTCAGTCAGCTTCATCACGAAAATTAATACCTGTTTTATGTGCTGTAGCAGGCAGATGAATGTACTTAGTACACTGATAATCATCAGCTAAGTTGCATATCTAAGACTTTACTGCATCTGCCTCTCCACCAACACATGTTTTAGAGCACAATTACGTCTCAGCCAGACCTTGGCCATCATAGAAAATACACACCACAGAACAACTCAGACACATGCAAACAAATCTTTGTGCAGTGCCCTGAGGATAAAGCTCCACAAATTAAGACAAGCACAACACTGTCTACTAGCATCAGACAATGAAGGAAACTACCACGTTTTCTAACATGAATCTCAAATCCATCTTTCTTCCCGTCTACCCCAAGTAAGGTATCTTGCTTCTCTGCTTCTCCAGGTCTGTGTTCTAGGCATGCTAGTAACTTGAAGCTTATACAATCAGTAAGCAGAAGGAGATAACCAGTTCTCTTCCTGTGGGTCTTGCAAAGAATGTTAAGCCTAGATCTCTACAAACAAAAGGTCAGCATGACCCCATCTATGCGTGTGCAAAAAGGTCCAGGAAGAATGACTGACTCCAGTACAGCTGAACGATCGAGATACTATGTGCCTTAAAAACATGCAAGGAGAGTTACACCTGCAAAGAGCTTAAAATATGAAGTCAACCTGTGCTTGCTTTGTACTGCAAATTTTCTTCCCGATTCTGCCTTGGAATTTTGTGACAAACAGTATTCATCTCTATGTGAAAAGTCACAATATTTTGTCACTGCTGCACAGGATGTACAATTACAGAAATGCAATTTTCACTGGAAGGTGGTATTTAGAGGAGTTCGTATCACAGACGAAATGAAGATGAGGAAAATGGATGGAAGCACTGGAAAAGAGAGATAAAAGAAAGAAAGCCAGCAAACCCGCACGTGGACGAGGAACTGAAAAGTCAGGCCAGTAGTTCACAGTTAAATCATTTTCCTTCCAGACTGCCCCTTAAGTAACTCATCCTCAGTATTAACACCATTATCTCTATTTTTCAGCATACTAATGTTTCATAACACAGCTGTATTACTGCACAGGGAAGCTTCTGGTCCAAAACCACCTTTTTTACCTTTGGATCAGCAGTCAGCAGCTTGAACGCTTGATATACTTGTGCTTCTTTCACGCCACCACCCAAATCCAAGAAGTTGGCTGGCTTTCCACCATTCAAGGATATTATATCGCATGTTGCCATTGCAAGTCCAGCTCCATTGACTGTAATTATAAACACCAAGTACTTATATTTCACATAAAAGTATATCAGATTTGTGAAAAAGTTTAAAACATATCAGCACAACCACGTAACACAGCTCATGAACACCTATTTCTGAATGGCTCAGTACCTATTCAAGGATATCCAAAGCAACAAATAATTCAAACTCTGGTGCACACACACCAACATTTAGGTTTCTTTATGACTGTATCTTTAGGACTTAGATGTGCAGCTTTCCTTAATTATAGGCACACAAAAACTTCTTGGAATAATGATAACATCACGAGGCATAAAGGACAAATTGACTTCTTAAGCTCCCCTCCATCATGCTGATAGCAGTAGATGATGTTTTGTATTACTGTAAATTACTGACGACTAAATTTTGGGGACAGATGCTCCTGAAACTGCCTTTTATTTTGCATTTGCATTAGTCTAGAAGAATCCCAGGGGCACACACATCCTCTAAGCTAGGAAAAGTAAGAGAGAATTATTTGTCCCCAGCAAGTTGTTCCTGCTAGACAAAGGAGGCCTTCTGTGTCATCTGCAATTCAACAGCACTAAAGACTAAAGAAACAGCAATATACCATAGTGTTGCCAATTATTATTTGGCTTTCTTTTTGGTTTTGTTTTGTTTTTTAAATTAAGATCCAACTGAACCAACTGCAACACTTTATCAGTATCTTCTAGATTTATGGTTAGAGTACACATCTAAGCATTATAAATGCTGGACACTTTCTCACCAAGCTGAAATAAAATGCCTAATTCAATTAGATTCATAATAAAATGTACTGGCTAAAAGCATTTATACAAAATGAAAATTATTTAGAGCACAGCTCACCACCTTACTTATCTATTCTAAAGAGAAAAGTCGTTTCTGTCCTACAGAAACTTCAGGAAAATAAGCAGCTGATATTTTGCTTTTAACAACCTTCCTTAAAGGAAAAATGGAGTTTGATATTCAACTGTAAGCATGAATATAATGTTTTTACACACATACTTTTGCAGTGTCTTTTAAGTAACACAGACTGAGTTTTGATAATTAATGATTGCTTTTTGATTACTTTTCTTGTTTTGTTTCTGTTACTGGAAGGACCAATTGCATCAGTTTAACAATTCAGTGGGTAGAAACCTTCTCCCTCAGCCTGCCCTCTCCCTGACCCCCTCATGCCCTGGCCTGTCTGCTGTGGCCTTCACCACAGTTTCAACACAGTTTTAGTTTCATTTCTGCAAGAACTTGTGGAAGGACAGACAACCTGAGCAAAGCAGGCTGAAATACTGTTAAGGGTGGGCTGAATGTCAGAATGTAAACAAAGTCTATGCACTGGACAAGTATGAATTTGTCTTCAAATGTCTTTTGGATTTATTTGTTCTTACCAAAGCAAGCAATATTTCCATCCAGTCCTATGTATTTTAAGTCATATTTGGCAGCTTCGTTCTCTATAGGCTCGCTTTCAGACTTGTCATCCATGGCAAATATTTCTTTTTGCCTAAATTCTGCATTGTCATCAAAGTTTATCTTGGCATCAAAACAAACCACTACAGAATAAAAGAATAAGACAACACACGGGCATTTAGAGATCACAGTTAGCCGGAGCTTCTGAAATATCACGACTACTACAGCAGGGATGGGGAAAAGGTTACGTTGGGACTGAGGTCACTTCTGACATATGATAAGCTGAAGTTCTAGCATTGAATACAGCAAATAACGGCAAGTTTTCCTTAAATCCTATATTGAGAAAAGCAAACATCTCCACACTACTACAGTGTCACAGCCCTTGCCACAGACCATCTTCTATGTTTGCTTTCAACAATGTTCATGTAAATTATGAAGCCAGTTTGCATGATTTGGGCATTAGATTCATAAGAGTCTACTTACAAAAAACACTGAAAGTACAACAAATATAACAAATAACAGGCTAGCAACCCAAAGCAATGTTTGGTAACATGCACTCATTTATAGTTGAGCAACACACAATGCTTTCCTTAGCCATAGTTTTAATTTATAATGTTATTAGCTACACACACATTATTTCCCTAAGGATCTGAATTACAACTTTAAGCCAATGGATGTTTAAAATGATCAAAAGATTACAGCTAAACAAAGAAAATTTACAAAAGAAATACAAAACTTCTCATCAATGTCAACACCCATTATGGCTGTAAAAACAAATTAGTAAGTAGCTAAACCTGACTGTATTAAATAATAGATACAAAAGACAACCCGGTAGACATAACATTAACATAAAAACACCAGCAACAGAAACACACATAGAGCAAATGGGTTATTTGCCTATTTACTGACTCATTATTTCTATGGGTTTGCAGAGGCAAACACCTCATTAGATTAAAATGTTCTAAGTAAATGTAAGACTATATACTTATGATTTCACCATTCAAGTGATGTGATTTGTACTATACCTAGATGATAATTACTGACTGAAGCATAATTGATTTCTCAATGCAAGACAGTCAGAAATAAGTGCCTTTAAATGCTGCACCCAGAAAACTCTAATATTAGTTTCTCTTCTTGTTTTGATGCGTATCACCATTAAAATACATGCATGTTACATGTGCATGTCTCACAAGAATTGTACACTCCTCTGCAACTAAAGGTGAATTGCAATTAAAAAGACAATTTTAAGTCTTTGATACAGATACCCACTAATTAAAACAACTACTCACACAACCTTTTTTGGTGGCACAAATACCTCTCTTTTTTTTTCCTCAATATGCAATTGCTTAACTCAGGAGGAAAATATTGAAGCAAACAGCAAAAGATTTACACAAACAGGAGAGTCTCAATTGTACCTCTTGATTTGCACTGGGGTTTCCTGGTTTGGTTTTCTGATGTTGCCGCAGGTTTTGTGTGACTTTGCACAGTGGAATTGTAACCGATACCAGATTAAATTGAAACACGACCAAATTTCACGTGAGTGACTGCAGTTTCAGAGAACTACTCATGTGTGTTTGTGTATAATGAATCTCTCATGGAAGAGTCTAGATCTTACCCAGTCAACCATCAAGTGGGAAACTGCCAACAGGATAAGCATCTAAAGTTCATAATACGCTTCTACTCTACTAGAGCTGCTTTCATTTTTTTTAACAGTGAACTAAGACTGGTACCATTTTTCTTCAAGCTCTAAGTTCTTTGAATTGCTAAAACAACTCAAAGCTGGAGTAAAACTGCAGCTGCAGAGTTTGTTTACCTTAGACATGAACATTCTCAATGTCACATTAATAGAATCTCATTTTTCCAGAACAGTCACCTTTAACAAAGGCTATGCTGTACAAAGTAGCAGGAAAAACATCTATTAATATTTATCAACCCATTTGCACCATCAAAAGCACATTGTTACACGCATGATAGATTATACAGATGGATTTTTTTTGTCTAAACAAATATCAAAGAAAGCTCCAGCACTTGTATTCACGGAGTACTTCTGTTGTTTTTGCTAGCAGTGTGGGATTTTTGTCATCTGCCAATTCAACAGCTTACATTGAGAGCAAACAAAAGAACCCAAATAAACGGGCAGTTACAGGCTTCTGACCCAACAGAGTTAACAAAGAATTTGCTACAAAATTAAACAAAAGGAAATGCATATGACAATGTATTTTCTAATGGAAATTGCACAAATGAAAAACAAAAAGCACAGCAAGAAATGAATCCATCTCAACCATTACTTAGACAGGAATAATGGTCTTCATACAGAGACTTGTATTTTATCATTAGAAATAACTCCATTAAGCTACTCAAATGTTTTTCCATTTGTTTTATCTTTATTCTTCTTTAAGACATTTCAGATGGAGAAACTGCTAGCAAAAAGAAATAAAGCATAGGAAGGTTTCTGTGTATGCCTGCTAGTAAGATGGCTTTCACAGTTGGAAACCCACTCTGTTTCTGCTCTTCAGATTCCTGGATGTGAAACACATGCAGAACAACCTCAAAAAAACAGCATAAATCCCCTACCATCACTCAAATTAAGCTCTCCTCACTAAATATGCCAAGTGCAAATACCAGAACAACCTAGTCCTGGCAAAAAGAGCTCACCTCAAACAATGATAGAAGGCAATTGTCATAAATGTCCCATATTCCTGATATCTGACTGAGCAAAAGGACTACTGGGTACCTTCCATAATTATTCTATGATTAAGGTATCTTGGTTATTTATTCTACTTAATAGTTATTTCATGAAGTTTTGAGAAAGGATATTTTGTTTTTAGAGTATCAGTGGTCTTGAACCCACAGAATAAACCTTGTAAGTACATCAGCCATGGAGGACAAGCATACCAATGAATTTGGGTTGAAGTGAACATCATAATCTGCAGGAAATTCCAGCAGTTTTTGTCGTACCTATTTTAAAGGTGCCATTCATCCTCAAATAGTCAAAAGTGTTACACACTGCATGGTGCTAAACTGGCAAAATCCAGACCATTCATTTTACAAGGCCCTATTTTATTGTTCTGCTTTAACTACACTGCAACACAGAATGAAGATGATCTTACCTCATTCCAAACTGATTTTAATGAGCCCAACAGATCTATTTAAATGGTGGGGAAAACAACAGTCTACTACTAGGTTCTGAAGGTGTATTTTCAATTTCCATTTAAAATACAGCATAAGATGGAACTGCACTGGTCAAAAACAGGGCTTTTTGTTTCTTTGCCCCAGCACACATTTCACAAAGTGCATAAGAACCAACACAGCCAGAGTTAGTTCCTAAGAATGTGACTTACATTTATTAAGCTGAGTGAGGTTTACAACGCAGAAACTACTGATTCAATGTGCGCATCATCATGGTACTTCAAATTAACTAGAAATCTGAGCACACAGTGCTGTGAGAGATTCTCAGATAAAGAGTTAAGGCATTTGGAGGAAATCATTCTCACGAAGTAAACTCTGTCCAGAGAGGTAAATGATTCTGGTGGCAAGAACACACATAAAAACCCAACCACAACACAGAAGGAATCTGAAAAAGGTCTGCTATCAAAGCAGAATTCATACATTTAAGCCATAAATATGTTCTTCTACCTTAGTTTAACCTGAAAACAGCTTAGTATGTTAAAAAAAAAAAGATGCATATTTAATATTTATCATTATCCCTGAATTATCCTCACCTACTTTAATAGACAAGATTTTCCTTTCTGTAGTTAAAATGTCACTTTATGATACAGTATTTTTGTGCCCCAGAGCCTATTTTATAACAAAGAGCACCATCATTTAAGATGCATCAGTAAAACAGGGTGAGGCAGGATTTGTTTTACATCTTTTAGAGCTTTTCAGAGTTCATTACCAGCAAAGTTTTCCCTTTAAGCTGTGGACAATTCTCTGTCAATTCTTTTGCATTTGTTTTTTTACTGTTAAAAAGGGAAGAAAAAGATTGGACAATTGGAGGAGACTGCATATTTTCTACCCACAATTCAGCATCTGAATTCCTGACCAACTGAGCCAAAACCATAGATTTTTAGTGAAAAGCTGCTTACTTTACAAACTAGCTGTGGACACAAATAGTATTTAAAAATGCTATTTCATACTGACACAGAAGTGATCTTTTCCCAAAAGTTTCTAGAACAGCAATTAAGCAGCCACATTCCTAATGTTTGTTAAAATGGGTAAAGGCAAAGTGAAGGAAAGGTTTCAGCTGGAAAAACAACTACTAGAATGATGTGAAAGTTAATTTTTATGTTATTTTTATATTTTGTTATATTATGTTTATATTTTTATTATTTTATGTTATATTATTTTTATGTTATACCTTCTTAGCCCTGTATTTCTGGTGGAAGCAGATCAGTTACCCCTTTTCTTCCTAAATGATGTATCTAGATACCAGTTCCAGCTGGAACCTCTCCCGTGCTCTAGTAGATTGTAGTCATGCACTTAAAATTTTAACTTACCCACACGCTTAGATATGTAAAATAACAAGTTTCTTTCCACACAATCTCAGTTAACAGCAGAAACAAACAAAAAATCCAAAACACCAAAAAAACCCACCCAAACCAAGAATAACCTAACTTGTACAAAGAGCAGTGAAGCAGAAAACGTTACTGTTTCTCATCAAACACAATATGCAGAAGCCAATACTTTGATTATTTGCATGAAATAACAAAAGGTTTTGCAATGTAAAATCTGCCATGAGAATATTAATGAATGCTGCTTAAATTGCATTACAAAATGATATTAATGCAAAGCTGCTTTTATAGCTTTCTACACGATTTAATTTATAATTTGGATAAATAAAGACTTACAATGCATTCACCTGTTTCCTTCCATTTCTTACCTTGCCCTTCTGGAGTTTCACCAAAGGGATTCACTTCAACCTGAGTGGCATCAATTTTCAAGAAAAGATTATACAGCTTCTTAATTTGATCCGCTGCCTAAATTTGATCAAGTGATTTACAATTACCACAAAGAAAAACAGAAGTTAATGTTTTCAAGGCAGAGGTAAACAATTATTGATTAATGTATTCAACTGCACACTAGATCTAGATAATTACTACTTTTATTTCTGTTTCTTTAATCATAATTGTGTAGTACCTAAGCCAGCTATCATGTAGCATTATGGTACTGCATAACATCTAGTGATTGAGCTTTTAAAGACTACACGAACTTAAGATTTTCTAGAAAATAAAGAGCATGATAACTATGACAAATTTAATGTGAAGAGTTCATAACGACATATTCTCCAGCATGCTGAGATCTAAGTTGCATCCACATTAATCAGTCTAAATTCCGAAACCATAAAGCAGTATCTGCACGTTATGACTTCAGAAAAAAAATACATTTTTCCTTCTTAGATCAGTCTGAAATGTTTCCTTGAAGAATTTGTGTCAGAAGCATCTTGCTTACTCTTCACAAGATACTCTTGCTTATTCCTTACTGTTCTTCACCATCTAGCTCTGTGACTGGTTCTGTGGCTGAAAGTATTGTGACTACTAACTTCCAAGTCTTTTGTTCTTAGAACATTCTTCCATTAATAGAACAGGCTAAGCAACACCAACATGAATGTACATAAAAAACAACCCGTAGGTTGTCAGTGTGTGATGAACCAGTTAGCTGAGTAAGTTTGCAGATGAAGTGCACCAATAAAGAAACATTAAAATTTATTTCTTCATTACTGACCAACTGATCGAAGTACACACACCAAAAACATTTGGGATCTCTCCTAATAAACAAAGTGAATGGAAATAAAACAACAGAAGTTAGCTTCCTCTCGCAGCGCCATTTATAAGAGAGGAATCACTATATGACTGGAAAGGCTCAACTCCAACTCCAGTTCAGGGATCAACATGTCTTAAGACTCTGTGAAAAGTTACTGTTTGGAAGCAACATACAAATTGTTTATGAAGCATGAACACTCAGTGGATAACCTGTCCTAATACCAATGGGTACAGCTGTCAACAGTGACGCTGGGGAAAAGTCCCACTGTGCAACCCCACATTGATTCTGGGCAACCTGAAAAGCTGTTGCTGCCCTATTACACTGCTGTAAGTGTAACAGAGCACCAGAATCACTTAACTTTATTAAGGTCTGCTCCATCTTTCAGCATCAATATCTGAAGGGGGCCTAACAAAGATGCTGGAAAAGGACTCTTTATCAGGGACTTTAGTGATAGGACAAGGGGTGATGGGTTTAAACTTAAACAGGGGAAGTTCAGTTTAGATTTAAGGGAGAAGTTCTTTACTGTGAGGGTGGTGAGGCACTGGCACAGGGTGCCCACAGAAGTTCAGAATGCTCCATCCCTGGAAGTGTTCAAGGCCAGGTAGAACAGAGCCTTGGGCATCATGGTCTAGTGTGAGGTAACCCAGCCCATGGCAGGGGGTTGGAACTGGATGATCTTAAGGTCTTTTCCAATCCTAACTGTTCCATGATACTTTTGTATTCTTTTCTGTTTCTGAAATAGGCAACTTAATGCCAACACTTCTCCTTCTCAAGGTTTACAAGCACTGAGCCTCTTTGAGGCGAAGCATAAAATCATAACCTAGAAATAGTGAATGTATAAGTAGATACCAGGATTTGTCTGAATAAGAACTATGTCCCTGTGCTTCAGTAAATTCCTTTGAGTTCATAGCACAAGGAAAGAAATGCATTCACTGCAGCATTATTTAAATACATTGTTGAAAAGTCCGTACATTGCGGTTAATTATTAAGTACCAGAACTCTTCAAGGGTTGAAAGGCTCTACATAATCATTCCTACTCATTACATATACAGCTAAATCTTCAAATGTGTGTTAATCAACTTAATGAGTATTCATTTTTTAATTGCATGGTTGGGATAGAAAATAATTAAAACTGTTGAATTAAAAATAAAGGAGCTCTACAGAAATGACAGGTTGATACTATGGGGGGAAAAAACAGAGAAAAGTAACATAAACTATCTTTCTCTTCCTTGCAAAATGTTTCATAAAGGCAAAATATCTCACATGCTTGTGCACAATATGGAATTCATATATATATACACACATATAAAAGAGATACTGAACAGACAACAAGCTGGCAGCATTTTGGGTTTGAGCTGATGGTCAGAAAAAAAAGGCTTCATTTACCCAGAGAGATTCTCCCATATTAAGGGCCAAATTTTCCAAAACACCTCTACCCATGTAATTCACTGAGCTCCACTGGAATCAAAAGAATCCCATGTGGTGTAACAGCATGCTGTCACCAAAGACCAGGAACTTTCACTCTGGAACAATAAGGAGCTTATTCAAATTGCTAAAGCCTGATGACAAGTATCTAGGTGAAATTTAGTATTTAAAATGTCAAAGCATTCCTGATCTAATGGACACTTGGCTTTTCGTGTCTATTTGGAAAGCATTTATTGTACGGCTGGGCTAAAACGTTGTCAGTAAAAAAGGAGGGAATAGTCAAGTTACCTTCTGTTGCAAAGGTCCTTTGAATCCCAAATTTTTTGCCATCTGCAACGCCTGATGATCCTTTATGCCTTCAAAAATATCTATTTCCTCCTGCAACAATAACGTGCATAAATGTAACTAAATATTCAACCTGAATGGAGATTTAGAACTTCAAAAGGAAAACACTTAGTATACATTTGCAAATGAGTAATTAAAGCATGGCTGTTTGCCAAAGCTCCCCGAGACTGAGGCTGCAGCAGCTGCCTATAGGGTATAATTACCACACCAACTCCAAAACAGTCCTTCCAAAAAGATACAGAATTCTTCAGGGTGGCATTCTGACAAGACAATGTGACACCAGTTTTCACTTTTAATTACTGTACAGATGGCGTTGACGACTATTTAGTCTGTTAATTTTAATGACATCTTCTGGAATACTTTCAAGGCAATGGGTGTCACTGCCCAGTAACACTGGAACGTTTATGTAATTTTTAGAATGCACATTAAATATTTTTATAACTGTTTGAATAATTACACTTGATGGTATCAATTATTTTCCCAGATTAATAGCTCATATACTCATTACCATGCCACAGTAACATGAAGAATACTTAAACGTAGTCATCGTTATGAAAGCAATTACAACAGTTGTATTTCAGCTGCAAAAGTCATCCAGATACAAAGAAACAATTAACAATTCTGTCAATGAGAAAAAATAACCAACTCCAGAAACAACAACCATACTGGCACTGATTCACTGTGAACAAACTGTACCTTCCTGAAAGTGAAACTCAATCATGAAACAGCTCAGGTATTAAGTTTAATGCATCACAGAAAAGCCAGATTTAAGCTCTTTTTCTAATTAAGCTGAAGACACAAATACTGACAAAATCAGATGTTAAACGCATTTCATTTGTCTACTAGATAACAGGTCTGATCCCCTATTGGATGTAACAATTTTTACGGTTCTGTCTTCCTTCCATATGTGGCAGAAGGAAAAATGGAAGGGGAAAGGGCAGGGGGGAAGGGCGGATGGGATATATTCTTTTGGATAACTGCCAAGGAAATCTTTTAGTGTAAAATATTATATTTCTACCTTAAAGATAAGTTCTGGGCTAGTAACTGCAACTTCTTCTATATCAACACCACCCTGTGGGCTGCCAACCATAACAGGTCCATTGCAGGCTCTGTCCATCAAAATGGCGAAGTATGTTTCCCTTGAAATATTCAGTGCTTCTGCAACCATCACCTGAAAATGAAGATAATAAAACAAACCCAAAACATGAGCAGTTCTGACTGGTCCATCTAGCTGGTGAAGCAGAGAACATGCCTTAAAACTCAGCAGTTTGATACTTGCTATCCTGAAAAGAAATACTTGTTTCGCTTTTTTACAAGGTATTACAACATGGTAATCTCTTCCCCAGAAAATCCTCTTTCCCTAAATAACAGACTCCCCTGACGCTGCTGTTCTCACTGGGTCATGTAACAAGCAGCACAACCCAGGAACACCTAAGAGTTGGGGTTGTTCCAAGAGGAGAATTGGAGCTGCTCCTGAAAACCTCCGTAATAACTTTTTACATGCACTTTAAAGAGCTAACCACAGAAAAACTTAAATCACAAGGGAGTACAGTTTGCAAATCACATAGATCTGAGAGAGGGTACGCTGCCCTTCAGATGCATCTCATCAGTAACTCCATTCCCCAGCAGTAAATCCTCAGGCTTAAATTCTCTTTCTCATTCTAACAGAAGGCCCTCCTACACTTAGAATCTCAGCACTGAATTCTAGACCTGCCTAAGTACTTCCTAAAGAAATGAGGCTACAGATAATTCTGCCATCCCGCTTTTTACTTTCAGTTTAGAGACAAGCAAATGTGTGACCTTCAGATACTTGCACAACCTTGAAATTAAAAAAATGGTTTTCCAAAAAGCTACTAATTTGTGGTATTTACTATAAACTACAGAGCCCTTTTGTCCCAGTATCTGACAGATAACTCAGCACATAACACAACAGCTGATTCAAATCCTACATGTTTGGAATCCAGAAGTATTCACGTTGAAATTGGGCTAAAAATGGTCCAGGTAAATTCTTTATAACAATTTTTTCTCTCCTCCTAAAAACATGGTAAACACAAAGTCCTCTCTATTTTAGTATTACAATAACTGCTCATCTGAACTGTCAGTTTCTGCAATAGTTTAACAATAACTACTGAAGCAATTTCAGAGATTATGTAATTTTATACTTGGCAAAGCATTCCTAAAACTATGTTTTGATAAATTCCCCAAAATGTTCTTCAAATCTGCATATGCTCATTACTGTTTGTTCATCGTGATCATTATACGTGCCTTCATCTCAGGTGCAAAAGCTGTACTTCTGCTCTGCATACAGTTCTGACTTTCAACCTGAAAGCTGAGCAGCCACCTCTGCAACTGAATTACCACTATCACTTCTCCTTATGACAATGAATTACATTCTTCCTTAGCAGAGCTACTATTTCTTATCTTTCAATGGAAGCAGTAAAAGTCAGGAAAATCAATTCCCTAAGGTTAGTATTAGGATTAGGCAGCAATGCCTTTCTAACATGGTCTCTTTATAGTGACAATTTTGGTCAATTATTTTAGATGAAATTCATCACTCCCAATGAAACATAAGGTGAAATTCATTTGAAATTAATTCATCAGTCAGCAGCTCAAACTCCTCAGATCCAAGAGGAGTATACATGCAGTATACACCTGCAGTCTTAAAACTCCGCCTACCTGGCAAGGTGTGCTCCATCAAGTAAGTATTGCTGGGGATTTCACAGTTCAAGGTCCATAAACAAGTTGGTTTTTTGACATTCTGCTCTGAAGTACACAAGAAAAACTGTACGTACCTTCTGCCTGGCTCTACCTCTTACCAGAACAGGAAAGAAAAGTAAGAGACAAGGCATTAAATAAAGCCGTGTCCAGAATGGAAGGAAATATGCTGTTTCTTCATGGGGTTTTTGATTTGGAAACGGCGATTTTGTTTCTTCTACTTTTACATAAGGTGATACAAAGGAATAGGCCTAATAGCAACTGTTCAAAGACAAACTAAAGAAAACTAGGGTGAAGGAGAGAAGTAAGAACTTTAAAAACTACCATACTATTTAAAAGCATCTGCCTATTTCATGCCACTATAAAGGGATGCTAAAAGCCAACTTCGGAAACATAGCTTGGCTACCTACCAAGACGCGACAAATTAACAAGCAAAGATATGGAATATATCCTTGATTTGCTACTTTTTACCTGCATGCATGTTTTCACCTTCTTGTATATCCTGCATCAGTGTATCTGAAAAATGCGAGTCAATTGTTTTAGACATACATAAGTCAAATAAAACCAGCTGGCGCTACTGGACCTATTATCTGAGCTGTGCTCAGGATCAGGATGATCCAGACTCAGGATGAGAACGAGTAAGTCTTGAGAGATACATCTGCAAGCACAGCAGGTGGAACTTAAATTATTAAATCAGGTATCTTTTCAACTGCTACTTCTGACCCAAGTGATTGTCCTCACTACTGCTTATTAAAACTATGTCAAAGTCATCAAAAACTTCTCTCTCTGTCTTAATGCACAAAACTATTCAGAGTCCATCTACTTTGCAGTAGGCAGGCTTACAGCAGAGTAAAAAAATTGACAGATATGTTGTATCTCTCATTTTCCCAACAAAGCATTTACTTCCCTTCACCATCCTCCCTCTCTCATGCAGAGCAAAACCAGAGAAAACAGTGTTCAAGGTTTTTAAGTATTATGGCTTAAAGTTTACCGATCATTCACATGGCAAAACCAACATAAACACATCAATGAACAGTTAAGAGTAGTGAAACTGAATCAGACTGTTGATCCTTCTCATGTTTTGCCCGTTTTACTTATGATAAATAATGTGAAGCATCATTATCTTTTTACCACATCAGGTCTATATTTTAGATCTCCTGGGGGAAAATCAGTTTTCTTGAAAACTACCTGGCAACTTCAACCTTTCCTTCTTAAAAACAAACAACTACCTAAAAGTTTAAGTTACACTTCTAATTTCATAAGGGTAACTATAACAGCTCTTTTATATTGAATCAAATATTCAAAATGTTAATTGGTATTGCTTGAAGAGAAAACACACGCAAAGAAGTCTCAGGCTGCCATGATAAGAGAAGACTGTCTCCTCAGATAACCAGGCTCTCCAAATTCCAAACTGCCATAAGAGAATTTTATGTAAACTCACAAAATAGCTTCCGAGTTACAAGGGACCTGAGGAGACTGCTATTTATTTGAGAAACATCAATCTACAGAAGCACAAACATGCTTTAAATTCCATAGTAGGTGCACAGGCAAAGAAAGCTAAAAACTCCATTTTCTGCTCAGAAATTATTCTAATTGTAGAAAATTCCTGTCTTTTATCCCTTCCTTATAAACACATGTCAAAGGTATGCAACTTCCACCCCTTGACTTGACACCAGCTCATTGATCGCCTCACAAAAAGTGACTTAATAAATATTTTCCTTCTGGAAAACATGTATTACCTAAATTCTTTAAAATATATGAGTTCATTCAAACTTTGCAGAACATAAAAAAGTTCAAAACCCACAAAACCTAAACCCATGCCTTTTCTCCCTGAACTGCAATTTTCTTTAAGTACATATACACTCACATACACTTATGTTCACATCCAGAGAAGGCTTATGCCTTGAAATAGAACAAAAATGCCAGCTATTAAATCTCAACTTCCCCACTGCTCTTAGCAAGCTTAAAGAGTCTGTCTAGCACTTCCTGTGCACTAACTAGCCACAGCATTAAATGACATCTTAGACATAGCTAAACTTGTACTTTTAATCATATTACTGTTTGGCCGTTGATTAAAATTTCAGCGGTTGACACTGCAGTCCTTGTACTAGAAACAAGAATGCCCTGAGTCCTTTAACTATTTTATAGATCCTAGAGTAAGCTAACTTTAGAGAAGGTAAAGGCTCTTAAAAAGACATTATTTTTCTTGGGAAATGGCCTTTTGATGACCTAGATGAATTGTTTTAAACATGCTTTCTTTACTATCTAACAAGCAACGGGGAAACCATTAGCATACCACTAGTTGAACTGCTACATAATTAACTTAAAACAGGGTGTCAGCTCTCACCATAAATTACCAAGAATCAAGATTTCAACACCAAAAATGTAAAACATACTATTATCCTGATAAATGTGTGTGCAATGAAGGTATGAACTGTCCTAGGGCTTTTAAAAGCCAAGTCCATAATCAGAATGGAAGGTCACGACAACAGATGATAAGCTTTGTCCCGGTGAAAAGCATCACACTAGTTTATCATGGATCGATATTAAAATACTTGCAACCTTTATCCTGAGAAGTTTCCAAGTAGCTCTACAGCAAAAGAAAAATTACACAATCTACCAGGGCTGTATGCCGTCCTCTACCACCAAAATATCACCTTAAAACCCACATATGCCCTAGCCGCTTACTCTTGACTATTTGTTCATACAATCAAAGTGTGGATGGAGAAGAAAGCAATTACAAGTCAGATCTACAGTTATTCCACACATGATAAAAAAAGTAATCTTGCTACAAATCTCTTGAATAATCCATTTCAAAGACCCAAGACCCAACACCTTTTGTTCATTTCTACCAATTTGAAAGAAAATCAGAAATTTCTTTTTCAGAACTGAATATGTAAATGAACAGACTCACACTCAAAGAGTGGTATTTCCTGTACTGTGTATTCAAAGTAGGTCAACTAGGGCAAAAGAATAAAACCACTGAATTTATAAAAGAAAACTGCTTTTACGATACAAATTTTTCAAAGCAGAGTGCCTTATATGGGAAATGTATATCCTCTTTTATATCCTTAGTATTATCACGATCTCTGACAGACGTGCCTTGGTAATACTGTTCCTTCTTTTTAATATCTAGTATTTCTTTTTAACAACACCTATGAGGAGTGATGGTAATCTGCTCTCCCCAGGAGAAGAACTGCCTGAGCTCCTTCCTCCAGCCCTCATTAGAAAGTATCTTTCCAGACAGGTGTTCTCTTTCTATGCTAATATATCAAGCTGTTCACAACATATTAAAAGTGAACTGCAGCTCTCTCCAGCTCCTGCCAAATTATCTACTGGCCTCAAATAACACGATTGTGGCTCTTGACTACATACCTGTATGAAGGTCCTTTCTCAGTAAAGCAATACATTTATGCTGAGGTAAATCTCAGCACCTTGCAGTATGCACCATCATAGGTAAATGATTTGCCATATATTAGCTGAACCACTACCATAACCACATTTAACTCTGCATCTTCAACATGTTAGGAAGAATTTACTTTTAGACACCTTTTTTATTTAAATTGAGAACATTCCCATGCAAACCCATGTATACTTAAAGGGGTCTTGTAAGAAAGATGGGGACAAACATTTTAGTAGGTCCTGTTGCGACAGGACAAGGGGTAACAGTTTTAAGTCCAAAGTAGGTAGATTTTGACTACATATAAGGCAGAAATCTTTTATGATGAGGGTGGCAAAACACTGGCACAGATTGCCCAGAGAGATGACAGATGTCCCATGCCTAGAAACATTCAAGGTCAGGCTGCACAGGGCTTTTGGTCTACCTGAAGATGTCCCTGCTCATTACGGGGGGTTTGGAATAGATGGAGTTTAAAGGTCCCTTACAACCCAAACCATTCTCTGATTCTCTGAAAATAATCTGTCTCTATCTTTAGTAACCCCTGCCCAAAACTGAAGATGTATGACATATGGACATAATTATTACTACAAGTAAACACGTATATATTACTTCTGCAAGAAGAACATCAATAAGCCTGTACACTTAATGCTACAGAAAGTTATGATAGCATTTAGTATGCATCTGGTGAAGAATGAATACAGCACTCCCTTCAACACAGGTAACGGAAATGAATTTATTTCCCACTACTAGCTATACTGAAATTGATGGACGAAATACACAAAATGAAAGAAAAAGTAACATTTCTTTTGTCAATTAGATGCAATCAGGCATTGGAAAAGGAATGAAAAAATAAATCTATGTCATACGCTCCAGTATATTAACTCAAAACTGCAGCTGAACACAGCTCTCAACTTTCAGGAGGCAAAAAACTTACCTTTTTAACTGTCACACCATCCTTTGGAGTTTGTTTTGTTGACAGATTGTACCCAATCATCTGTTTAGCAAGCCGTTCAACAGTCTTAGGGCTACAAACAAAGGGGAAATGCTAGTTTATTAGAAGATATTAAAAGGAACAGTCATGTGGTTATTGTTAACAGCTTAAATACTACAATAGAATTATTTATGCTTTTTCAATTTTAAAGACTTACTCTTTCGTTAAATGCACTCCTCCTTTCAATCCACTATTGAAAATACCTTTTCCTCTCCCTCCAGCAAGAATCTGTGCCTTCAGAACAATTTCCTTAGCCTCTGCAAGGGAAAAAACACCTTGTTGTTCTATTGTGCATCACTTACCAAGTTTGTTAGTGTAAGTTTAAAATGCATCTCCAGATTAGACCCTTTAAAATAACAAGAAGTTGTTCATAACTTGTGAGCAACTAAACAAGAGTCAATTCAGCATTTTTGTAAAGCAACACTTCAAAGAAGAACTGCTAAAGGATAAATACACACTACTTATTAGATGGACAAATCTGTCATTATTTAGATGAAACCCATGCTATTAATGCCACGTGGCTTGCACAACGAACTACATAAACAGCATACAGTTTGATGACTTACAGTCTGGAATGGTTTTTAAAACATGAATGTCATGGTTTAAGCCCAGCCAGTAACTCAGAACCACGCAGACACTTGCTCACTCACTTCTCTCCTTCTTCCTCCCCCCGCTCCCGGAGGGATAGGGAGGAGAATGGAAAGAATGTAACTCCCATGACTTGAGATTAAGAGCAGTCCAGTAACTAAGGTATAACACAAACCACTACTGCTACCACCAATAATAATAATGATAAAACCGTAGAATCATAGAATAGTTAGGGTTGGAAAGGACCTTAAGATCATCAAGTTCCAACCCCCCTGCCATGGGCAGGGACACCTCTCACTAAACCGTGTTACTCAAGGCTCTGTTCAACCTGGACTTGAACACTGCCAGGGATGGAGCATTCACAACTTCCCTGGGCAACCCATTCCATCCTTACAGTAAGGAACTTCCTCCTCATATTCTATCTAAACTTTCCCTGTTTAAGTTTTAACCCATTACCCCTTGTCCTATCACTATAGTCCCTAATGAAGAATCCATACCCAGCATCCCTATAGGCCCCCTTCAGATACTGGAAGGCTGCTATGAGGTCTCCACGCAGCCTTCTCTTCTCCAGGTGTCCTGGGTTTAGCAGAAGCAGTCATTTTTCTCTTTCTTGGTAGCTGGTGCAGGGCTGTGTTTTGACTTTCAGCTGGGAACAGAGCTGATAAAAATGATGTTTTGGTTTGGCCAAGGACTTTGTGGGCCTCATGCTCTGCCAGGGAGGAGGGAAGCTGGGAGGAAGCAGAGACAGGACACCTGACCCAAACTGACCAAAGAGGTATTCCATACCACAGCACGTAATGCCCAGGAGGTAACTGGGAGTTACCCGGAAGGGCTGGGGGGACAGCAGGGTTGGAGGAGGTATCGGTCGGGGCTTGGTCGGGCTGAGGGGGGCGAGTTACCGGTCGCCTGGTGATGAGGTGTTGTATTCTCTTCCCTTGTTATTTTCTTTATCATTACTATTATTGGTGGTAGCAGTAGTGATTTGTGTTATACCTTAGTTACTAAACTGTTCTTATCTCAACCCGTGGGAGTTGCATTCTTTTTGATTCTCCTCTCCGTTCCCCCAGGAGTAGGGGGAGGGCAAGAAGGGGGGGGAGTGGGTAACAAGCTGTCTGGCTGTGGGTTAAACCACGACACCAGGCTGAACAGCCACAGCTTTATCAGCCTTTCTTCACACAGGAGGTGCTCCAGCCCCCTGATCATTATGGTGGCCCTCCTCTGGACTGCTTCCAACAAGTGATAAGGGAAATAACAAGGGAAGAGAATACCACTCTCCACCACTCGCCAACCAATACCCAACCCAACCAAGCAGTGATCTAGCCCTTCCGAGTAACTGCCCCCAGTTTATATACTGGGCATGACATGCTGTGGTATGGAATATCTCGTTGGCTAGTTTGGGTTAGGTGTCCTGCCTCTGCTTCCTCACAGCTTCCCCTCCTCCCTGGCAGAGCATGAGGCTCACAAAGTCCTTGGTCAGAGTAAACATTACTGAGCAGCAACTAAAAACATCGGTGTTACCAGCGCTGCTCCCAGGCTGAAAGTCAAAACCACAGCACTGCACCAGCTACTGAGAAGGAGAAAAATGACTGCTACTGCTGAACCCAGGACAATGAATCAGAGTGCATTTTGTCTTGAATGCACAACAAACAAATGCCCATCAAAGAAAGTAATTACATTCCTTCCTCTGAACACATATAAGCAAACCTTGGGATGCGGTCCTAAAAGGAGAAATCCCTATCTCCAAAGGGCAGGTAAGTATAGAGCAAGGACAGTAGCTGTGAAAACATGTTCATCTGTTTGAGGCATCACTTGAATCTTTGCCAGTTGGAATGTAACAGTATCTCAGTAACAGAAAAGTGCAGCAAGACACACTGACAAAAGCAACTGTACGAAGACCTACATTGGAAGCAGAAGCTATTCTGACATCCTTACAAACAGGGGGAGGAAGGGGAAAAAACAACTAAACAAAAACATCACTCCTGATCTCTGCAGCTCCATGGACTGCAGCGGCTTCCTGAACCATAAAAACCTGCCAGGTGCCTGAAAGATGTTTATGAATACTGAGTACTGTCACTTTGCACATTTATTATAATACTGCCAGGTATTTTGTGAAGTCTGAGATCCTCATATTAGAACTGCATTAAGAATGCTAAGAAAAGGCTACCATTATTCATCTTTTCTAAAGCCTGTGGAAATGTCTGATTTCAGTGATGTCTGGGTAAGGCCATGCCTCAAATTGCAATATTCTATTCAAGTATGCAAGAAAACCAGAGAAATAGTTGTTAAATGGACAAATGTACTGTTAAAGTGGCACAGAGGATACAGATACTTTTCAGTCAGACAAAACACAGGCTATCTAGGCTTGAATAACACAGAAAGCATTTTACAGATTATTAAATTAAATAGAAGCTTGGAGGTGTCGCAATTTTTGGTGCTGATCAGCTCTGATGCAGCACCATTTCAAAGTTCCAGTATAAGAAATCTCAGAAACGAGAAAAAAAGTTGGATCTTGGGATAGAATAAATATTATGGCATAAATATCCTATTTCCTGTATTAAGATGGGAATGCATTTTTAACATAGCTGTTGGAAGTACTGTACTAAGAGATGTGTGATTTCGAAGCTTCTCAATGCAAAATCCCTTCATGTGTTTACCCATTCAGTAACATTTGACATATATCATTCTGAACCTTAAAAGCACTCTCCTTGAAAATACTTCATGCATTCCAACATATTCATGTTCAGGGCTCCCTGTTACTCATGCCACCGAAGGGCAGATAACAAGGAAATTTAAATGCAACAAAGTTTGATATAAAATGTTTCCTAAGCACAAAAAATATTAAGATTAATTAAAACTATAAATCACTTTCCAACCTGCAGAAACAAATTGTTCAAATCACAATGGCTGCTGCAAAAAATAATCTAATATAGTATTGTTAATAGATGCTGGAAGCATTTAATTGCATGGGTTTGAGGTGCCAACCATCCCGACAATGTGAGTTTTGATTGTCGGTGATATCTGTTATCAACTCTGTGAGCAATCATTACCCTCATTCCTAACCAACACGCTACAGGAGTGCTGATTATCTCCATTTGACTGCAACAAATGAAGGTAGGGAGAGCAATTACTGTGTACGTTTTTATAATCCACTAGAGAACTATCAAGGCAATAAGAATAACTTCAGAAAAACAACTATCAAAATCATAAACACAATAAAAAGCAAGCATAACCACGTAAAGATTAGACATGAAGAACTAATCGATACAGCAGCTCAGCAGAGCACACTACAGCAGGTTCTTCTTGCCCTTGGGGAAACCAACAGGAAGCAGTCTAATTCAATAGTTACTTGGCTAAGCTCTGTAAAATAAAGTAAATGAGGCAGATCTTATAATACAGGAATTGGGACTGGTTATTCAGTACTTACCAAGATGATTACTTAGTGTCACTGTTTTATTTAGAGAGCCAGTTTCTAGAAATGCTGACACAGTTTTTATCTCCTGCCTGAATTGTCAAATTAGGTTATGAAAGACTACCCCCAAAAGAAAAATGTTGGTTTAGCTGGAATATTTGAAGTAACCACCTTCACTTGGAGGCTCTAATAATAGAAAGTGTTAAAATTCTTGAGAACAGTAAGTAAAGTCAGGATTACACCCATTAAAAACAAAAAGCTCTAACTAACTTCCATTAGCACCCTTCCAAGCTGCTGTGGTAACATTGGAAAAATGGTTAAGGAGGGCTGTGTACTTATAAATACTGATCTGAAGAGAACCTAGCACAAGAAACACGTCTTTACACCATCATAAAGTATACTGCAATGTTTTCAACAGGACTGAATTTGATAATTAAGGCTTTGATGAACTTCTGTGTATGTCCACTGACTGACAAGCATCTGTGTAAATACAGAAACAGCCCCCATAAAACTCCCCAAATAACACAACAGACTGCTGCTTAAATGTGCATACATCTATTTTTTTTTCTTATTGTGACAGATTTAACATTTTCCTTACCATTCAAACCAATACCAAAAAAGACTGCTTTCAAGTGTCACTAATTTAGCAGCAAATAGCCACAAACTGCTCCATGCAGGTTAATGACGCATTTCTGGTAACAGCATGTGTTCTTAACTAATTATAACTTGAATATTAATATCTCAGACTTAACAGTTTATTCACTGAATCCTGTATTTGTCCTTTTTTAATTAATCTACAAAATAAAGAGGCATGAACAATTCCAAAGAGTCCTTAAATAAAAGGGAGCAAAATACAGCTTGTCTCTTAAGTCAGATGCCAATAAACAGGCAAGACCTTTACTCCTCAGAGAAGTCCTGAGAGATGAACATTTCACAAGTGTTGTTGGGTCTAACCACATTTTTAAAAATAAAATTAAATCTGACCACATAGGAAAAAAAGCTTTAAGTACTTTTAAATAAATTCAGATGTTTCAGCAGGACAAAACATGGGACGGACAAGCATCCTCTACATTGGATTCAACAATCCACTTCCTCCCTTTCGGTCAGTGCTGTGAATACAAATGGCAGTGATACTCTTGCAATTGTAATAGGCTCAGTTCTATAATGAAAGCCTATTTAAATCAATAAAATCAGTCCTGCTTTTGGGAGCTATGATTACTCTGGTCCACTGGTACTGCTTGCAGCAAAAAATGAACAGCT